CCAGGCTATGGAAATCCAGGGGTGGGAGCACCGTGCGGCCTCTCGTTCGCAGGACCTACGACTCTTGTTGGCTGATCAAGCGGTCGAGATCCGGGACGGGTGGATCGCGCCTCCCGTCAACGAGATGGTATGCGAGATGACAACGACCATCTCCTTAGGGAGATGGCGCTCGCCGGATCTGAGATCCACCAGCTCCAATCCCGGATCCACGACCTCGAGCGGGATCTGGAGGATTCCCAGACTGCTAGGGCAGCCGCGGACGCGAGCTTGGACCGACTCCGTGACGAGTTGCGTCTGACCCATGAGGAGGTGGTGACCAACGACTATGTGGGATCCACCCATGGCGGATCCGCCTTAGGGTCGGCGCGTGGAGGGTCCCCCGCGCCAAATCCACCTCCCTCGTCGCCGGATGTAGCCTTGGCTCAACTCTCTGAGGAGTTGCAAGACACCAAGGAGTCGCTCGAGAAAGCGTCTGCCGGACGAGATTACGCGCTCGAAGAATTCGTACGTATGACTCGATCGCGTGACGAGATCCAAGCGAAACTGGCGGACAGCGAACTCCAGCGGGACAAGGCGGCTACCGAGTGGGCGGATGCCAAGCGTACGCAAACGGAGCTGGAATCCAAGCTTCGCCGCACTAGTACGTGGATCCTCTTTTAGCCCTTGCTAGTAACTCCATATTCACTTGTTATTGTCAATCTAGGTGACAAATTGAAAGAAGCAGATGCGACCACCGCGAAACTCCAGGATCAACTCTCCGCAGCCCAAACTCAGCAGCAACAGCTGATCCTGGAGCGCGATCGTGGCTTGTCGGAGCGCGATTTGGCACGTCGACGACTGGCGCTGGTGACAGCTGCCGTTTCGGATCCACCTCCCCCTTTGTCGGGGCCCTCTCAGGCTGCTAGCGTCTCTGCTCCTCTTCCGACTGTAAGTGGGGCGGATTCGTCGGCTGCGAAACGCCCGCGTAGTGCATCTCCCGCTCCTAGCACCGGATCCTCCCGTCCCCATAAGCAGGCCCGAGCTTCCCCGAAAACCAAGCTTAAAACGACTCCGGTCTCTAAATCGGCTCCGCAAGCGGGATCCACTTCGGTGTCTAAGGCGGGATCTACACCCGCGTCCAAGACTTCCGCTTCCCCCTCGAAGTTGGGTGCCGGATCCAAGTCTGGATCCACCGCTAGATCCAAGTCTACCTCGGCGTCCAAGACTGGATCTGCCGCTACGTCCAAGTCTGGCTCCGGACCCCAGACTGGGTCTACGGCGTCCAAGACTGGACCTGTTGCTACGTCCAAAGCGGGAGTGGGATCCAAGGCTGGATCCACTGCTGCTACGTCAAAATCTGGATCCGGACCCAAGACTGGGTCTACGGCGTCCAAGACTGGATCCGTTGCCCCATCCAAAACAGGATCAGCGGTGTCCAAGTCCGGATCGACGGCCAAAACGGGATCAACGTCCAAGACGGGATCCACCGCCGGTCCTTCGGTGACGACGCCGGCCGTTCCCCGGCCAGCCTCCATCGGCCATCCGCCAGCCCGTGCTGGACCCGGGAAGGGGAAAGCTAAACGTGTTATTCCCCCGGGATGTGGACTTGGCAGCTCGGAGGACGACGAGGATGAGGAGTCAGACTGGTCTGACGGCTCAGGGCCTCCTAACCGGTCGTCGTCGAAGCATACGTCGTCTTCCGGCCCGTATCCCTTCACTCTGAGCGATGAGGACGTTGACGACGACGACGATGACGACGGGAGTCCAGAGGATTCGGAGGAGGCTCAAGCCGCTGAGTGTATGCCTTGGAGGAAGACACGCGACGGGCTCTGTCCCAATCCCGGTCCGAAGCCCGGCGGAGATCCCTCTCGACGCCGCCTCCACAAGTCGCTGGCACAGCCGGATCCGGAGGCGACACTGCGGGATCCGCGATCCAAGTCGACAGTGACGGCGGATCGGGTAGTGATGGTGGGAGAGGGTCGCCTCGTGGTGGCGGACTCCTCGGATCTGGTGGAGGGGGGTCGCCTGGTGGCGGATCTCCCGGATCTGGTGGAGGGGGGTCACCTTATGGTGGTAGATCTCCAGGATCGCCTCATGGTGGCGGATCCCCGGGATCATCTCACGGTGGCGGATCCCCTGGATCCGTCTTGATCCCCGCTCCCCCTAACTCGTCACTGCCAGGGATGCTCCCCGTGGCTCCGTTTGGTCCGGATGCCGCTTTCATTCCTGGTAGACGTGCTCGCGTGGCCTTCGCTACCAGAGACATCGAGCCTTGGTCAGCCAAGAAATTAAACCGGGTCGCGGTCATCTCCATGAAGATCACGGTCCTGTTTCCGGAGTTGCCTTTTCGGGCTGAGTGGATATTCCCTCGGACAGCGGACGCCATCTCGAGGGCCGGGTACGTGGATTCACTCATCACCAGACCTCTCGTGGAAGAACTGACAAGTGCTGCCCCGTGGGATACGCTGGTCACCACACCGGTGGATCCGGTTAGCTTCAGGGGTGATGTGCGTGGGCGACTCGGGGTATTTGTTCGGGCGTTCCGGGATTTCGCCTCCAAGCACCGAGTTGCTATATGGGAGGGCACTCACCGGTTCCCCATCTCTCGGAATCAACTGCAGGGTTCGACTTGGTTGTCCAGCTTCAACAAACAGCGTGGTAACCGACGTAGCCATGCGGGCCGAGCTTGGAAAAGAGTCCTTGTGATCCTCGTGTTAGCAATCCAGGACGGTTGGTGTGATGTGGATATTTGGCTGGATCCATCCTTCTTGCATCTTCCCCGACGCGGGGATAAGGTGGCTTGGTTTCCGGGATCCGCATCCCGTCAAGCCAACTTGGAGGATCCCAACCTCCATCGCCCAGAACCCACGAGCCTATTGGAAGCCTTGCGAGAGATCGACGAAGCCGAGCCTTGGCGTATCCAGTTTTGCGGGGACTTGAGCCAGCACCCAGGACGCAAGATCCAGCGTCTAGTGGGCAAGTTCTTCAACGTTCAGCCCAAGACTACCTGATCCTCGTCACTCTTTGACGCCACGCCCCTAGTTTCAGTCTTCGTGGATTCGTTTCGTAGCAGTAACTAGCGACTGGAAACTGGGTCGAGTTAGCCCTTTGCATAAGCTATTATAATCCACACTCTCTTACTTGAATATGTCTATAACATTCCCTCGTTGATTGCGAAATCTAGTCAGAGCCTTTCAGTGTACACCTGGATCTGGGCTGGATCCACCCTTTCAGTGTACACCTGGATCTGGGCCGGATCCACCCTTTCAGTGTACACCTGGATCTGGGCTGGATCCACCCTTTCAGTGTACACCTGGATCTGGGCTGGATTCCGGATCTGGTTGGATCCACGCTTGGATTTCATCCGGATCTAGCGCCGACGACCCAGTTTCAATTGGGTCTGTATAGTTCGGGCTCTTGAAAGCTCGCGCTTGAGATCAAGCAGGACTCCTCGCACGTAAAACGTCACTCTTATGCATAAACATTCACTCCTTCCTCCTAATCCACCCTTCCCCTGTGGATTCGTCTTCTCTTTCTTTCCGATGTGACCAACTCACATCAGCGATCCTCCTCCTCCTGGCCCACACCCTTCCTGTGGGCCCTTTTTCATCCTCCCATCGACATGACCAACTCACATCCATGGATCCCCTTTCTACTCTTCTTCATGAGACTGCATCACGCCGAATCTGTTACGATTCGTACGATTCCGCAAGAAATCATAGAGTAATGCTCCACAGTTCAGATTTGCCTCGTCTACCCAACTGGGTTCGTCATATCCACGCCAATACACCAGAAATTCACGGTAAATCCGCCCGTATCTAGTTCGCTTCCCTGACCTCATGTTGGTGATCTTCTCGACTTCGAACTCGTCGGCCTCAAGGTCCACATTCCAACTATCCTCCGGTAGGAGGACTTCGTCGAAGTCGACGCGGTCGGATCCATCCACCGAAAGACGGTTTGCGGCCGATCTGGATAGTCTTTGACCAACTTCAGCTTGGATACGTGTACTACAGGGAGCAGGCGATATTCGGTACCTGCCGTTTCCAGCTTTACCGCATGTTCTCCTATCTTTTCGCTCACCCGGAACGGCCCATGCCATAGATGGGCCAATTTGCGGGCGTACCCTTCTTTCACTCGATCCAAATAAAGCCATACCTGCGATCCCACTTGGATTTGATTCGGACGGGCGTCTTCGTTATGTCGATCCGCTCGCTCCTGTATCGCACTCCGCAGTCGTTCGTTCACTTGGGATCTGGCTTGCCGGTAGTATTTCTGGACTTGGTATCGCCATCGCCTTGGATCTCGGTTTCTCTTCTTAGTGCTACATACTGGAATAGCCGCTTCTAGGGTGGATTTGGGATCCCACCCATGTACCAAGTAAAATGGGGTACACCCCGGATCCTGTCTTGGGCGGTATTCATCGCGAAGGGGAGTCGTTCTGCGTACTCATCCCAGTCCCTCTGATCCAAATCCTGGACATACATCTTGAGTGCCCTCGTGATCGTCTGCACCATGCGCTCGGCCGACCCGTTAGCTTCAACGAAGCACTCAAGGTTAGCACATATGATAGATGATCCAGATCTACGATGGTACGTACCGCAACCATGCAACGCCGACGTCTCGACGAGCCTTATGCGGCAGGCAGCAAATTCGTAAATGAAATGATCCTTAGTGGGCGCAAATTTTCGCGCCTTTGAAGCTGTCGAAGATCTCATCTTCAATTTCAAAAATTTTGCTAGTTAGGGGAGTTGCTTAATCATATACAATACGCAAGTCACTTTTTTATCAGTTGCTAAATTAGGGTGCGTGATTAAACGCGAAGTTTGATGAGACGACTTTTTGGTCTCATCAAAAATTTCCGTTTCATCACTAAGTTTTTATCACCTTTTAATCCACCCTAACCCCAATGATTAAACTTTTTATACAGGTTTTGGAAGGCACCCATTGAAAGAAATGGGTGGGTGGGTCATCATTTCCTGGGTGGGTAATAATTCCAACCCACGACTGGAAATCTGTTTCGCATGGAAGGTGAAGGAGATAGTCGTGTGCACTTCTCCGAGGTGAGCGACCCGTGGTCCAGCTCACGTCATGTGGCGGTGCTGCAGGCGCTCGACGCCGTCGAGAAGGTGCGTGCATGTCTGCAATCAGACGTCCAGCTGCACATATAAGACTCACACCTCGAGACTAAACCCATGTGGTTGCCACTAGAAACTGGTGACGGCTTTGCATACAGCGGCTACTGCCATGTCGCTCGTGGCACCACGTGTGTCGTCCGAGGAGAGCTCATCGCTGGCCTTTAATTCAGCGTGTACTGAGTTTCTACAGCTGGTCAAGGAGATCCACATCGAGTTGGCCAACCACATCCACCTTGTTTCAGACTACCGCACATTTGCACGCAGCACCTACGGAGCAGAAAAGGATGTGGAAATTTGTCGCGAAAAGGTCAAGGTTGTGTCTGAGCAGCTTCATACATTGTCGCGCTTCCTGGAAGACCATTACACGCCCGAGGAAAACTAAAGACCTTTGCTGGGCTAAGTTGTCAGTCCCGTGGTATTAATTTCACATAGATTGCTTATTTTTGGTGGTGGTCGCTACGAATGTTGATATGTGACGAAACTGAGCGAAGTGATTTTGTAGCTGAACACGCAATTGATGCTTGCGCTGGTTCTGCAGGATCTCAATTTCCTCGGTCTCATCGGCGTCCCCCGCCCACTCGCAATTGGATTCGGAGCAACTTCGAAGTAATACAGAAGATCGATAGATTGTGCGTTAGGCGGATTGTGAGCCAGACACACTGTCGCTTAACATAGTGGTCGCGCAGCTCTCTCGACACTTATCGATGTCGTTGAGGACGCGATCTGCATCGACCTGTTCGGATACGTGTAGTTTTCTTGGGGACAGCGGACGATACCATCGGCGCTGATAAAATCGGAGAGCAAGGTGGCTTCGATGAGCCTCGTCGCGTAGTAGAAACATAGCGAGCATCGTGCCATCATCTTCTCGTTTGTCTTTCCATTCGATTAGCTCATCTAATGAAATCTCGAATAGCTCACTGAGTCGTGCGGCAGCTCCCTACACCGTTCAACACACTTTGTCATCGATTGCGTATGTGTTGGTATACTACGATTATGAAGAGGGACTACATATAGTACCTGGTAATGGTGCAAGATAATGAACTGGATAGTAGTTGCAGCCGCGTGCCATTTCAATGAGAGAGGTCGTTCAACAACGAGCACGAATGCCAGAGGAGTCAGAAGGTCACATCGATCGACCTGCTCACGTAGGTGCAGTTAATCCCAAGCAGATACCTTATACGTGTTATGAAGTGTTTGACAAACCAAGATCGGCAACAGGTTACGATTCGAGTTCATTAAAATGTTGACGGCTTGGGATGCTGAGGTAAAAACAGATCTGAGATGAGCATAGGTCTCGTGCTCCGTGGTATCTTCGATTAATGCGAATCGCTCCTCAACATTGCTGGAAGTGAAGCGACATCCAGAGACACAACCGTGAGCAAATATAGGAAATGACCATCCATTCACAAGCAGAGACGCATACGCATCTAATGCCTTGGCACTGTAGCCAACCAGACGAGTGAACTTCTCACAAATGATACCCTGTCATACAGTAAATTTATTAACAAGCCAAAAGTACACCGATGGACAAACAAACCTGTAGGTGTTTCGACTGCAGCAGATCGTGCAGAAGCTCGAGGCTCTTATGCTGAAGGTAGACGTCGCTCGAATCGAGGAGGGCGAGGCAAAGAGGCACAAGATCATTCTCTTTCCGCCTTCGATACTCAGGGTCAAAGGAAAATGAACTTTTGGAGATTAACTCGTGGAGAATCTGGAGTAACGTTCACGGTTAGTTCGATAAAGCCAAAGAAGCTCAACACGACGCCAATCGACCTGTGCTCCAAAGAGTTGAAGACGCACTTCGAAGTGCTTTAGCATGAATACAATTGCCTCGTGAGATTGATCGAGACTGTTGGGGTTGCCTACGAGCTGCTCAAGAAGGATCGCCCGACAAAGCGTCCACACACGAGACTCCGCTTTCCAATCACCAATCTCGCCACTAGCTAGAACCCCTTGAATCACAGCCAGTTCGCCGTCCAGACGACTGATTTCCTCCTTGCATTGTCGACTCATCTTCGAAATCCGCAGGATGACGCGAAAGAGGGTTTCTCGGTCGGTGACAGACACGAGAGGTTTTTCAGATTGGGCAACATTGCCGTGAATCGCCACAATTTTCAACACCAACTGAAGACCGTTAGCATGCTGGAATTCTCGATAGTATTCGTGCGCGTTTGCGGAGTCGAAGAACACATGAAGAGAAGCCACTTGCTCCGTAAGCGCAAGACACTTAGTTTTTCCTGGCTTACTTGTGGCCCTGTGGTCGTTAGAGCTGCAAATGGCGCTTGCAGTTGTTTTCTGCATCCACGATAGAAGACGTGGCAGAAAGAGTGCGAAATCGGCATCGTACTCGCTCTTGAGCAGTCTACCACCGTCAAAATGGCTGCAAAACCATTCCAGAAGCTTCTTGCGTTTGCTTTTCGAGCCTGACAAATACAGAAATGATGAGGTGGATACTTGGATGAGGGAAGCAGCCAATAATATGGTCATTGTATCATTTCAAGCTGACCAAGGGAAGTAGATCGTACTAACACACCTTCGTCCCAGTCATGGAGGAGTGTGCTCATTTGGTAACAATTTCAGGCGCGCTCCGAAATAGTGGTTCTATATGCGGGGTAAGTACACACCGCCTGCTCGTGAAACCCAGGTCTCTGATTCCGGTTGATAAAGTGGATCGACCAGTCGGGGTGGACTCTGGCTGCGATCGTTAAAGGCGTTGTGAGTCCACTTGGAGGCCGATGAGCATCTCCGACGAGACCGAAGAGATGACGGGCTTCGATTACGATTTTGACTTCGACTTCTGCTACGACTCCGGAAGAACCTCCGATGAGAGCGACGTCGGTGGTCATCGGTTCGTGGCTTTACATCTTCACGACTTCGACTGTGACGGCGCGATCCCTTCTTGCTGCGTCGAGTGTGGCTCCGACTTCGACTCCTATAATGCGTGCGGTGGTGCGAATGTCTGCCTCGATCTTGATCCAGCTATACGGAATGCATATGATAAAACAGTCATTGTCCCGTCGCAAATTATCGCTCATCAACCAAGCGTACCTGTGGGCGAAACGGATCTGCTGGTGGCGGAGTGCCAATAAGACGACCACAAGGGCTTGCTGACCTCGATCTATCGCTGTTCTCATCTCGGTGGTGTTTGTGTTTTCCTTTGTGTTTGTGTTTCCGTTCCCTTTTCCTGTTTCCTCTTCCTGCTTCTTTGAATTTCTTGCGGTGCGTTTTATTGACCACAACCTCCAGGTCGCGGCCAAACTCATCTTTGCGTAGCACCTTCTTTTGCCCTGAATGTCGGTCATCCGAGGGAGGCGAGGTTTGTTCTGTCTCCGTAGATCCGTGGCCAGTCAAAGAGTCTTCGTTTGTATCACAAGCAATTGTTGCGGCTCCAGGCTGGATGATCTCGCCACTGCAAAAGAATCACGAATGGATATTCCAGACACGCAAAACGACACATAGGTCAGCACATGAGCACTGGCAACAAATGCAGATTACGCACCGCCAGTTGCGCAGCCCCAGACGCTCAGGTAGATTCCTAGAGCTCATCTTTACTGTCAAACGGGATCAAAAAATTTCTGCAAAATTCGTATCTAATCGAAACCCCACAGCACTCCTCCCCCCACACCCAAAGAACCAACAGCAAGAGCAACAGCCACCGAGCACCTTTTCGACGGGCGCCGCCATGAGCAGCAGTAGCCCCAGTAATGACGATGACTTCGTCACCATAACCACCAAGCACCGCAAGAAACAGCAGCAGTCTGCTGCTCCTAGTGATGTGGTTAGCAAGAAACCACCCACGGCCAACAACGGCGCCAGCACTAGCAGTAGTAACATCTCGCTGCGGCCGCGTACAATGTTCGCCATGAAGGGCCGTGGGCGTACCGATTCAGAGGGATCCGCATATCGTCCGCAATGGTCGAAGGACGGTGAAGGCTTCGTATCAGCGTCCTCGGGCGGCCCGGCATCCTTCAAAGAAGCGGCCACAGGAGGCGGACAGGGCGACGACCACCGGGGAGAGCGTCGCAAGACTAAAGTGCTACGCTACACCAAGGAAGATCTACTGGCGCTGCATTTTACAACCACTGAAGCACCCAATTTCCCCCCCGAGACCACAGTGGCTTCGGAGCACAGTCTTCCTCCCGTCAGCACGCTGCCATTCGACTACGAGGAGATTTACAAGCAGTGGTCGCTCAACCGCAATCGTGGACGTGGACGCGGTCGAGGCAACGCACCGCCTGGAGGTCAACAGGGAACGCGTGGGCAACAGGAACGAGGATTTCGTGGGAACGACGGAGAGGAAGCAAAGCAGCAGAGAGACGAACAGCAGCGACACAACGAGAGAGACTCAAGGTGGGAACGTGGCGCCAAGATCACAGAGGGATCGCATGGAGACGATGTATGGGATGATGTTTTAGAGCCTGGCGCGGAAAGCAATGAAATGGTAGCGACTTGTGCAGCGAAATGGTGATATCTAGACGACTAACTGATGTTTTTGGTATATGTAATACAGGATCTGTCAAGTATGGCACTCGCGGCGGAGAAGTTCCGACGAGAGATGGATGCGATGCGAGAGGAGCTTCAGGGATCGAAGATCGACTCGGTAAGGCTAAATACAGCTGCACAAACCTGGTAGACACGGATAACTGATGATGTGTTGTTTATTAGGACGCGATAAAGGACGATTTGGATGCTTTTGACAAGAAACTAGAAGATGCTGCTGCTGCAGGGCAATTTGACGATAGTGATAACGACGAAGTACAATGGGATGATCCTACTCCCGAAGAGCAGCTTCAGGCTAGCACTAGTAATGACCCATTGGAAGATCGCACGGCGAATCTGCTGGGTCGTCAGTCTAGTCGCAGCCACTTGTTCGATCCGCTGGAGCGTGCTGGTGAACAACTGGTACTTGAAGAGAAAAGTAGCTTCTCGCAATCTCCAATGCCGGCTAACGAAGGTTTTGGTGGGTTATCATCGCTACGACTGGAATTGGAGGACGAATGGTTTTACTTGGACCCGCAGGGATTACAACAGGGTCCGTTTAAAACAGCAGAGATGCGGGAATGGTTCGAGGCTGGTTACTTCAAGCCGCATCTACCGATTCGTTTCGGGCGTGAAGGAATTTTTACGCCCTTGGCGAATCAATTCGTGCACGGACAAATGGCGTTCGCTGCCCCACCAACGCGTATGAGCGAACTGGGAGGAATGCTTGTGGACCCTCGCCAGGACGAGCAGCAGCGCCTATTGGAACTGCAACGTGAGCAACAGCGTCAACAGCAGCAACAACAACAACAAATGATGGAGCTTCAGCGACAACAACAACAGCAGCGAATGATGCACCTGGACCAAAAAGAGAATATTCGTATTGAGATGCAATGTCTTGAAATCGCTCGGCAACAGCAGCAAACACAATTGTTTCAGCAACAACCGATGCTGCAACATCAGCAAGAGCAGCAGCGACAGCAGCAAATGCTACTGCAACAGCAACAGCAAAGCTCGTGGCAGCGTAGCCAGCGTGAAGGTATTATGAGCGCATTAGGCATATTTGGAGGAAACCAAGAAGCCCCCAACGTGGGAGCAAACGACAATTTCAGATCGGACGGTATGCAGATTCAGTTCCAGTCCGACTACCGCACGCAGCTCGAGCTGAAGATGCAGGCTACTCAACCTCAACGCTCGACGTTCTTAAATAATGAAGTGCAGAGGCGTGAGGAGGCATTTTGGCCGAATGCAGCTCCGGAAATGGCTGGATTTGTACCTGCGAACACAGCGGGTGACTTGCAATCAGCACGCCCGTCGAGTCCAGCGGCACCGAAATCTACCGAGCCTCCTGCACCGACAAGCCCAGCTGCTGCCCCTGTGGTTGATGCGTGGGGAACTAGACCAAAGTCCCCGGAGCGTCCATCACCAACTCTTTTCGACATTCAGAACGAGGAGAAGCGGAGTGTTGCTCAGGAAGCTCGCAACAGTGATGACCAGATTCGCAGTCTACAAGAAAGATTCAATGCTGCATCTCCTATCAAACCCACCCAGAGGGAACGAAAGGCTGAGAAGGAGACGGAGACTAGTCAGTCAATAAATAATGGCAAGAATGTCCAGACTGAGACAAATGCGTGGGCTACAAAAGCGCCGTCGTCCAAGTCGCTTAAGGATATTCAACAGGAGGAACAGCGTGTATTGCTCAAGAAGATGAGTGCTGAGAAGGGTGGCAATGCGAACCTAGCACAAATGGGAGAACAGCTAAAGATGATGCTGGGCGTGGAGTCCACGGCTGTGGCCCCGAGCGCTCCTTTGCGCCCTTCTCAGGCTCCGACAGCCAAGGCCGCACCAGAAACGATACCAGCTACTGCTCCAGCAGCGCCCTCAGCTCCGTGGGGAACACCTGCCACTGTGACAAAAAGCAGCACCTCCAAGTCTATGCGTGACATTTTGGCTGAAGAGGAGCGTCTGGCGCAGGAGCGTGCTAAGGTCAATGAGTATGCACCGACCAGCTCGCACTGGATGAATATCGTGGCAGGCAACAATGTTGCTGCAGCAGCCATCCCCAAGCCGTCACGGTCAGCATTGGGCCCTGTTCCCGCGTCAGTAATAAAAAGTCGTCAGCAAATCCGTGCTACCAATGGAGCCGCTGTGAAACATTCCCCGCCCAAGGCTGATAGCGATGCGTCGTTCTGGAACTTTGGAGCAGCACAGAGGGAGTCTGCAACTAGCGGTGCTCAGGTGGGCACCTCAAATGCTTTCGGCTCAAATAATGTGTCGTCGGAGTTTATGACGTGGGCCCTGAGACATCTGAAAGCAATTGACAGCAACGCCGATGTGACGCTGTTGGAATACTGCGCCACGCTAGAGGACCCTGGTGAGGTCCGCGAGTATCTTGCTGCGTATTTGGGCTCCACGCCCCGTGTGTCAGCCTTTGCCACGGAGTTCATCCAACGTAAGAAGACTCAACATAGCGGCAAAAAATCGACAGGTAACCAGGACGCCCAGCAGCGTGCATCCGAGACGGGATCATCGAACAAGCGGGGTAAACGCCGCTCGAAGGGCCAAAAGATTGATCCGTTGCTGCTGAACTACTCGGTGGGGGGCCAAGTGATGCAGTGAGCGGCGAGCTAGTGAGTGAGCTAGTTGGTGTTAGGGACACACTGGATAGGAACAAACAGGGCACGTCTCACGAAATGAACTGCGGTTTGAGCGAAGGCTTTGGCAGCTGTCACCTGATTTTGCTATTTTTGGAGTTGAGAACCATGAGGACAGCTACTGTAGAAGAGCTTCTTCCTGAAACATAAACTGCAATAGGAAAACAACAGGAAAGCTTAATCAAACGATGGGCGTGGAATCATTTTAGCATTTAAGCCTAATTTGCTATGAGGGCTGCGAGAACCTCGTTCGCAAAGAGGAAGCACCAGGCGCGCTACTCTTTACATTGGCAAATGTACTACGCAGTATGTAGCTAGGTTGAAGTGGTTGTAGTTTAGGGGCTGCTAGGCTGCTGAACCTTCTTGCCCTTGAGCAGTCCGCCGAGCGCACTGAGGCCGCCCACTCGTTTGGCGCTCTCGCCACCGATGCCCTCGCTCTCAGCCTTCTGCTGCTTGGCGCGGCGCTCCAGCTCCTGCAACCTCGCCTCCAGCTGGTCGTAAGTGCCCTTGGCCACTCCGCGCAGGCGCTTTTGCAGGATAATGGCCGAGATGATGAGTGGCAATAGAAACACACTCATAAATAGCGCGCAGAGAGAGATAGCCAGCGTCGTGCCCAGAACGTTGTTGCAGAGCGCCTCGTTAATGGCGTCGAACGAGAGATTCGCCCACGCGCAGTCGCCAGAGCAGCGCGTCTGCTCCACAGCAGTCAGCAGGTTGCGCACAGCACCATTTTCGCCCAGCATCTTCGATAGCACACCGGTCTTTAGAGCCGTGATCTTTGTGAAGTAGTTAATGGCGAACTCGCTGATGGAGACTGAGTAGTTCCACTGGTCAGGGAACGTTTTGCCCGTGTCACCAAGTAGAACTTCGCGCATCTCGTCCAGCATCGTACTTGCCTTGTCGAAGGCCACCAAGTACTCGTACGCCTCGTAGAAGGCGAGCTGGCAGGAAGCTTGCGTAGTAGTCTTAGCTGTCGTGTCGGATTCACACAGACCGGTCATGTAACACACGGGCAGTTCGTCGATGGTTCTGTTTGTACAGCCATAGGATGTAGCCAGCTCGTTGTACGCCAGCCAAGGCGTCAACACATTCTCTTGGGTGAACTTCACAACCGTTTTTTTCTTCGCAGCCTCAGCTGCTGTGGAAAGCTTGGACACTAGGCTTCGCGCCTTCGTCGAGTTAAAGCTGAAGTCGGTGAGATCATAGTTAGAGACAATCTCGCCGTATGTCGAGACGATACTTGGCAGACTGGTCGTGTCTGCTCCCTGAAGATCCTTGTATTCATCTTCTACGTTGCACGAGAAAGCCAGCGGAGTATCAAGGCCCAGTGGCGCTAAGATGTTGCTGCCGTTGAAGCATGCATTCGCCACGGTGGCCATCTGTGTCGATGCGTATGGTGACATATCCTGGTGCAGCAATTTCATGTATTCACACGAATCATACCACACAGCGCCGACAGCGAGAAGGGACGCTGAGAGGACAAAGCTCAGCACACACACTAGCACGCCCAGGGACCAGCTGACGTGGAGCAAGTGTACCCATTTGGTCGTCTTGCTGGTGCATGCGTTCTTGACGATGGCAATGATGCCCACAATCGACGCGATTGTTCCGAAAAAGAAGACACAAACCACAAGTGCGCTGCGAGAGAAGGACAAGTCGTTAAACGTGGCGGTGAGCACATCCACAATATCCATGGAGCTGTTAGTCGTCGCACCCAGCGCCTTCAAATCCCGTACTGCTGTGCGCAAAGTTGAATTGAGGGTGCTACCACCAGATACAAATGAGCTTTGCAACAAGTTGACAATATCTCCAACCACATCGCTGCTAGCAGATATAGCAGCGGCAGTGTTGTTGACGAAGAACGTGACAGGAGAGCCGCACACTCTGTCGGGGCAGGCTAAGCAGAACGTCTCGCTAGTCGCGTGATCGCAAGTCAGTATAGGAGCGCTCCGTGGTGTAGTAAATCCGTCCAAAGTCTGCGATCATCTGTCTAAGTGTGACACCGTCCCTAGCAATCCAGTCCGAGTCCTTGAGCTGAGCATTGACCGCCGTCGACGCAGCAGTAAGCTCCGTCGTGGCATTACTCAGTGGAGTGAGCAGGTTGGACACGAAGATGTTTGCGTTCTCCAGAGTTGCTTTCAGCGAGTACAGCACGTCTTCGACACCATCCGAGATGTTCGTGTTCAGCGCTGCTGTGACAACCATGCAGATGAAGACTGCCAGAGAACACACAAGGAAGGTGAGCGTAGGAGCAATGATATCGCAGCGTGTGTAGCCCTTTTCGTTGGGCTCGCGTCCACCACAGCGGTTGAAAACACAACGAAGCACCACAAAACCAATGCAGCCCAACGCCGTGAGGACACCCATGACCGTGCCAGGGGCCACGAAAGGTGCCAATGAGCTGGGATAGCCCGTTGACATCCACTTTGTCGCAGTAATAACTTCTGCATCAGTAAAAAGTTGGCGACGGGCTTCTGACCCGCCAGGCACAACGTCGTCCCACTTGCAATTGCTCTGGCGCTCGCATTTGCCCTTGCTGTTGCAGGAGTCGGCATCAAGCATAACAACACACTTGCCGTTGATGTCGCGCACTGCATCGCTACTTGAGGAGTTGACGCAGCGCTCCAGTTCGGCTTCCGACGAGGATTTCACGCAGATGTAGGTGACAAAGCTCACTAGCGACTGCTTGTACCAATTATCGCTCTTCTTGCGCATCCCAGACATGGCAGTATTGCCCGCAACAGCACTCAATTTGAGCGCACTCTGGCGTGCTGTTTTGTAGGCCACAGCGGCGTTGTTCTCGTCAGCGTTGATCTGTGCGGATGTCATTCCTGTTGGGGACATGTAGATGGTGTTCTTTGCCGTGCGCACTGGGCAAGTGGCCTGCCATACCTGATCCGCCTCGCTTGAGCATGTCGTAGTCCACGTGGCTGTACTCCCAAGTACCGGGATCCACCCTTTTGTTGTGCCCAGGATCATAGCGAGCCCTACTCGACAGCGCATAATCGCTGGTTGCTTCCTCCTGTACTTGCTCAAACCGAATCGAGAATGAGCTGCCAAAACGGACGAGCCGCTATTCCCAGACACGTTGGCGGACAAGATGCATTACCGGAGATAGAATACAGCTCGGGAGGTTTCCGTCTTAAAGGCAGCTTTCGACACCTGGGAGGAGTCGCGGTAATTAAATGACAGGGTTGACAACCGGAATAAAACGTGCTGGGTTTAAGGAAGCCGATGACATCACAATTCGATTTTAATTTTTGTAAGGGAAGCATCTGACCTCTAGCTACTTTTAGAAATCTCATATCCCTTCCTTCTACAGCCCAAAATACCATGGGTGAGTCGATGGAGCACTTAAAAACTCCGTTGCTAAAAAAAAAGATTTGAAGGTGCACATTTATTCGTGTAAAAAGTGCTACCGTAGTCTCACAGTCACTTGGCAAAGAGGTCTGGTGACTGCAGCTCACTGTTCTTGTCGAAGTAAGCACACTAATACCTGCGTAAGAATTCTTTTTACTCCCTCAGCAGCTCGTTGCTGTAAAATAGTGCCCGCTACGCGTGCTGTCAGCTCTCTTATGTCTTCAAGACCGCTGTAATTCGCAGCCTCTTCGGTGTTTGCGGACTCTCCGGTGCTGGCAGGATCTCCGACGCTCCCAGTGTGACGGGGTCACACAGCACCTTGCGCTAGAGGAAGTTATCTTCCGAGAGTATACAAACTCTCAGTGAACGGCAGTTCACAGGTCCCCTCTTTAATTAAAGAGAGCGAAGTGACCTAAATAAGGTAGATTGTAAACTGAGTATATTTATAGGTAGGTTAAGTTTGGGTTTAATACAAACTATAAGTTACCTATAGAAATGCAATGTCATTTAACAAATGGTTGGCTTTGAACGACCTTGGTACTTTGTACCAAATATTCTGGAGTATGACGTGTCATACTCCTGAAGTGTGGAGTGTCACACTTCATGTAACCAGGGTACACTTAGGGCTACGTACCCCGTTACATCCCCCCCCACTTAGGTTTGGTTTACCGACCAATCAGAATGAAGAGGTGTTCGTCACAAACTCTCATTCTCAAAGTCGAAAACCATCGACTTGGCCGCGCGAGCGCGGCGGAGGCTCACTTCACAGTTAGAGCCTCGAGCAGCAACCTGTGCGCTCTTCGTCTAGGTCTCCACTTCGACCGTTAACATGCCTCGTGGCACTACTAAGAGCGGTGCTAAGACACGCTCCAAGGCTAGCCGGTAAGGCGCAGGCCAAGAGCACTAAGCCTCACGGCAAAGGCTCGGCACTCAAGGAGGCTACTCTGGTGGCCTCTGAGGCGATCGGTTCCTCGGGTGACGCGGCTGTGGACAAGCGAGCAAGCAAGCGCCGCAGTCCGTCGCCCTCGTCTTCAGACAATCGTCCGAACCCTCGGTTCGTGGAACGTGAGTTCAACTCGGGCAGTGAGGGCGATGCCGAGTCCGAGAGCAATCACGGTGCTCCTGCGGGCTCTGTGGGAGGGCACAGCCCAGTGCCCAGTGAGCACAAAGATGACAGCGTGCAGTCGCCCGCTAGTGATCACGGTGATCACAGTCCCAGGACCTCTGTGCGCTCTGAGAGTCCGGCCGTTAAGGCTAAGGGCGCTCCCAAAGCCGGTGGCGATGAGGAAGAGAATCCTCCCAAACGTCTCGCGCTTGCCGAGGGTCTTGCGCGCGCTAAGGCCTCTAAAGCCGAAGGCGCCAAGCCCTCAAAGAAGCGTATCGCCTCTAAGTCTCCACTCCGCGAGGAGAAGGAGACTCGACGCTCCTATCAAAGTCTCTTCGGCTCCTCGGATGAAGAGGAGGAGAAGGAGGAAGAAGAGGAAGAGGAGGTGCTATTGTTGAGCCCCGGGAGGTCTCGAATGACCTCGACCAGCAGCAGGAGGAATTCCAAACTGCCCAGCGTGTGCGTGGGGGTTCGGTGGCAGCACCCGTCAGCCAGGGAGCTGCCACCAACTCAAGAGGGTATTGGCCTCCCGAGGAGAGCTCTGGGGCTGACCTCTTCTTGGAGGTTCTCGTCGCTCCTCGTGGCCTTGTGGGCGGCCACACTTCTAGGGGCATCTATGAACGAGCCCTTGTTCAGAAAGAACAGTTGTTCGTCGACAACTTGGAGGCTGCTCGGTGTGTGCTTCTCGCGCCACACCGCATTCCCCTTAAGGACTTCACGACTTGTCGTAAGAAGCCCGAGACCCGGGGTGATCTCTATCCTGTTTGGGGATACCACTGGGTTATGCCCGAGAACTGTCCCACGTGGAGTTCTTGTGAGGACATGTTCTGGGCGTGGGTGGAGACTCTCAAGTACTCGCCCACGGAGTTATGGGAACTCCATGAAGATCAGCAGCTGTCCCACATCCTGGACCAGCGTGATCTTCGTGTGAGGTTTGCCCACTTGATCAGCAAGCGTATGCTGCTAAGGGACATCCTGAAGCGCGCGGCTTCTAGCGCTCACGATGAGCGCGGGTACGGTATGTATTCATCGACCGTACCCCGTTCGGGCAAGAAGCCCCGGACTACTTATGAAGCTGCCGCCGCTTCTGCTCCCAGATTGCGACAGCCTTCGGGCAGTCAATCAGGAGCCGTTCAATCGGCTCCCACGAGTTCTCGGAGTGGGGATAACCCCTCCACTTCACGAGGAGCTGTCGCTTGCCGCGACATCGTTGCTCCTGGAGGATCCGCTCCACGTGGAAGTGGACTTCTCCATTCCGGTCAAGCAGGGGCGGAGGTGCCCTCGTACGAGTACGAGTACTCGGCGCCTCCCGAGAGCCACTCTCGTCCGAGTGCTCCGACTGCGGGTCCGACACGGAACCCTGAGGTTGACCGCCTCCGTCAACGTGTCCTCGTGCTTGAGATTGCACTTGGCCTTGGGACTGGCGGTAATGCTGCCGCCCAGGCCGGGAATCAGGGCGAGCTCGCTCGTCTTGCGGGTCGCCTGGACCTGGTGGAGCGAGAGGTCGCGAGCCTGCACCTGCGGGTGGACCGCCGGGCCTCTTCGTCCGATCTGGACGAGGCATTTCGCATGATCCGACGGATCGAGGCTTTGTTGCCACGTCCGGAGCCGCCTGCGGCACACTCCCAGACGTACGCGTTGGTGCGTACCCGGCGTACTCAGCGTACTCGGCGTATGGCGCCGGGGTCCGTTCGTATGGATCCCCTCCGGCGTACGGTCTTGACCGCAGCCTTGCCGTCCCGACCGAGGCTTGGGTGCCTGCTCCGACGCCCTCGTCGACGACTGTGACCGGCCCTCGCTTCGAGGAGCTGGGTCAAGGGGGACTGCGAGTCAGCAACCCCCTGCGGGTCAAAGTACCGCTTAAGACGTCCGACATAGAACGTCGGGTGCGTCGTCATTGACTTTGGAAGGTCGATGGTGTACGACGCACCATGTCTGGCCAGGACTGCAAAAGGTCCGATGAAGCGGTGCTTCAGTTTGTTGCTGCGGACAGAGCTAACAGTGTCTAGAGGTAGGTTCCTCGTGTCTAGCAACACTAAGTCACCAATCTCAAATATACTTAAGTTTCCTCTTCCTTGTTTGTCCGAGTACTCCTTTTGTTTATCTTGGGCCGCTGCCATGGCATCGCGGACCCTGCTGACAATGTTCAGCTTGGTATCCATAAAGGATTCCACCTGTTTCCGCAGCGAAACTGGCCTCACATCCGAGACCTGGGAGGAAAGCGCTTTCCGAGCCTTCCCCCACTTAGAATAGAGGAGTCAGTGTCTCCTCGAAGAGTGAGAGGCACTCTGGGGTGGCGGAAGCCGTTCAAGTAGAACGGCGTGAACCCCGTGGACGCGTGCACCGCGTTGTTGAGCGCAAACTCAACAACTGGGAGCTGCGTCGACCACGTACGTGGTGCTGCCGCGCACACACTGCGCAGAGTGTCCTCGAGCACCCGATTGACGCGCTCTGTTTGGCCGTCGGTCTGCCGCAGTGGACATCTGCAGACGAGTTTCCAGTAAAGGGAACAGCGTTTTCCAAAACGCGGCAGTGAACCGCGGGTCTCGGTCCGAGACAATCGTCTCCGGGAGACCGTGATAGCGGAACACGCCATCGACGAACAACCTTGCGGTTTGTTCGCCCGTTACAGTGACGGGAACTGGAGCAAGATGTACCATCTTGCTCAGCCGACACACGAACACCAAAATTCCGGTGTTGCCGTGTCCGTCGGCGGGAAGCCCAAAGATGAAGTCAAGGCTCATCGACTTCCAACAATCAGCCGGTACGGGCAGGCTCTGTAGTGGGGCCGACGAGTGCCCTGCGGGTTTGACCCGCTGACATGTTTCACATGTCTTGACGTACCGGGCGACCCACTTGTACATGTGGGTCCACCAGAAGGACTGAGAGACCGACAAAAAGGTCTTCTCGCGGCCCAAGTGGCCGCTGGAGGGCGCGTCATGCGCCTCCGCGAGGATGTCGAACTTCAGATCCTCGTCGTTGGGTACGACCACCCGTGGAGGATCAGTGGGCTCCACCCGATAGTAGAGGAGGCCCTCCTTCAACTCATATCGGTGGAGCCGTGAGCGTTGTCGCGACGAGAGCCAGTCGGACTTCGCGCTCGTTCCGGCCTTAAGGAACTTGACGATAGGCGCGACAGCCTCATCGTCCCGATACGCCATGCGTATCCGATCATATAGATCCGTTGTCACCCGCGTGATGTGGGCCAACTCATAGTCGGGACGCCGAGAGAGGGCATCCGCAAGCACGTTGAGCTTGCTCGGCTTGTATTCGACGCGGAAGTTGTATTCCGCGAAGAAGGACAGCCACCTCGCCATCCTTTGGGAGAGGTGAGGCGAGTTAGTCGCCGTCCTCAAGGACGCGTGGTCTGTGTAGATCACAAAGGGCCTAGAGCCCAGAAGGTGAACACGGAACTTCACAAGGGCATATTTCATTGCCAGGAGCTCCTTGTCATGGACAGGGTAGTTCCGCTCGGCGGCCTTGAGCTGCCTGGACTGGAACGAGATGACTCGTTCCTGTCCAGCCGTGTCGTCCTGCA